GTCTTTAGTCATTAATTTTGACTCTTTTTGAGTCTTTTAAGCCCAAACAAATGTTGTTCCTAATTATTCATTTTTTTGTTCCTAAAAAATCTTGCCCCCCCCTCACTTAAATCCTGTATCCGCCCCTGGATTTGTTTAATTTTTTTTTCAAAAATTCTATAAAGGGTCTTTTGTTAAATATTATAAGGTTAGAAAGAATGGATGGAGATATGGATGAAGATGAGTTGGAGGAGTGGAAAACTATTTTTAATCTCTTTGATGTAGACGGCGATCAGTCGATTACAGGCGAGGTAACTACTAACCAGCGAATTCATTAAATGTCGTCGTAAAACCTTTGGAAGAAACTACAGGGCAAGGATTTGTATAAAAAGGATGCATACGGTACGGGAAATGTTGTCTCCTTGGCACAGATAAATAAAATCCTTATATGACGTCACTCTTATCTCTATAATCAGTGACGTCATATGAGAATTTTATCTACAGGGTTATCCAAAAATTATGTGACAAATCCAAAGGTTAAATTTAGTATTCGGCCTTAGATAAAGTAAACTAGTGGCTTATTTATTGATTTGGTAAAGAAAGAAACAGGTTTACAGTTCCAGGGAATCATGAATATAAAGATACAGGTTTACAGTTGCAGGGAATCATGAATATAAAGATACAGGTTTACAGTTGCAGGGAATCATGAATATAAAGATACAGGTTTACAGTTGCAGGGAATCATGAATATAAAGATACAGACCGTATAAATTTTGTACAATCGTCTCTGAAGTCTCATCCTTTATGAGTAACTCCGTATCTTTAACAAGGAGACGACATTTCCAGTACATCGGAGCGCATCGAAAGTGAGCAAACTTATTATACAACCTTGCTATAAGGGTTACATACAAAGGTTGAGATTTTAATGACGACCTTTAATTTAGTTTTTAATCAATATATATTTAACTAGCATGGGAACCCAGCTTTGCCTGGAATCTAATCTTTCTCTAAATAAGTCAATTCAACTATAATTCAAGGAACTTCGGACGGCAGCAACGATAATAAATGAATTCCGTACAGATGTCTCTAAAGTCTTGTCATTTGAGTGTAACTCAAGGATGTCCTATATCCTGATTCAGGTTTATCAATACTTGGAGACCTGATCATATTTTGAAAACTTGAAAACCATAGATAAAGATAGATTGCGCATAAGACGACATTTTTCATCTTGAAAGATATAAATGTACAGAGATGTTTTAAAGATATTCCTATTATATAGATTAACTAGGTCGGTTGTGAACATTGGCTGTTCTTATGTCATTGAGTAATTGTGGTCTACATGAGTTCTGTAGAGAGAAATTTAAGTTATAGTTTAGCCCTTCTCATGTCCTTCTTCAATTCTTGTCAATATGATATATTGCTTAGTGAAATGTTGTTCAAATAGTTCCATTCCCTGAGTCCCCTGAGTTATTAATGAAATCCATTAAAACACCAAACCACCCCGCTTATCATTGAAGTACACTTTGACCCCTAGAAGTATGAGTTCGCGGACTGTACAATTCTTGGTGATTTGGCGTACATAAGCTATCTATGTTTATTTATTTATCTATGTTGAAAACAGTTTGAAAAATAAATTGATAAACGTTGTTTGATGTTCAGGAAAAAAAATTCAGAAATATACTGAACCTGTTTGAGAGGAGAACAAAAAATTGACATGCTAAAATTACGATCTTCATATTTTAAGATGAAACAAAATGCTTGATATTTTTTTCTTAATCGTTTCCGTGATTTGTGATAGTTTCAAAAGGAAATAAGTTTAAGAATAAATTCCAAAAAAACAAACATTTTTATCAGAAGAATGTTGAGCTTATTTTGTAAAACTGTCATTATATCCTGATGTATTTTGGGGCACCCTATATAAGCAAATGTTAAATGTTTTCAAATAAAATTATAACAACGTGTAAACTTTTTCTGAATATGAAATATTAAAAATTGATGTTGCATGGTTCCGCTAGTTCTCCGGGTAAACTTTAATACTTGGGAGAAAGTTTCCGAACTTGTTGTATAAAACAAACAGGACGGAAGAGTTTGTCTGTTGGGATGGTTTTCTCAGGAGAGATGAAACTTTGTATTCCTGCACTGCGCAAAATTTTAATAAGAATTTCAAGCTTGATATAGAGAAGTTAGAATTAATAACATGAGCCTAGGCTGGACTAAACTAGATTTGAAATAATCTACTACAAAGTTTAGGATTATTTTAAACAATTTTAAGTTAAAAGTCACTTCATACATTCGAAAAATAAACATGGGAATTTTGAGACCACTTTTAAATGGTTTATGCTTTTAAAAATGTGTATTGAAAAATCTGTCTTATTAGAATGAGAAAATCGATGAGATTTCGAGATAATGAAAATGGGTTTGAGAACCTTTAACTTGGGATTGTTTTGAGATGAATGATTTAGTATTTAGGAATTGGAAGGGTTCGAAGATAAATATCTTTATTATTTAGAAGTTGAAAGTGTTGAGATCAATTTCTTTAATATTTAGGAGTTGGGATTGGTTTTGAGTCTTTTATATATAGGAGTGGGGAGTTGTTTAGAGATCAATGTCTTTAATATCAAGGAGTTGGGACTGCAGGAGTGGTTTCAAGATCAATTAGTAATTAATGAAATATCTAAGAGTTGGGAGTGGTTTCAAGATTAATACTTTGAATATCTAGGAGTTAGGAGTAGTTTTGAGATTAATACTTTTGATATATGGAAGTTGGGAGTAGTTTAAAGATAAATAACTTTATTATCCAGGACTTGGGCGTAGATTTGAGATCGATGCCTTTAATAAAAAGAACAATTGGGAGTGGTTTCAAGATCAATAATTTTAATATCTTGGGGTTAGGAGTAGTTTTGAGATCAATACTTTTGATATCTAGGAGTTGGGAGTAGTTTTGAGATCAATACTTTTGATATCTAGGAGTTCGGAGTAGTTTTGAGATCATGCCTTTAATATTTAGGAGTTGGGGTGGATAGATCATTTCTATTAATACTTTTGATATCAAGAAGTTGGGAGTAGTTTTGAGATCAATACCTTTTTTATATAGGAATTGGCATTGGTTTTGAGATAAATAGTTTTTAAATCTAGGAGTTGGGAGTAGTTTTGAGATACTTTTGATATATAGGAGTTGGGAGTAGTTTTGAGATCAATACTATTGATATCTAAGAGTTAGGAGTAATTTTGAGATCTATGCCTTTAATATTTAGGAGTTGGAATAGGTTTTGAGATCAATATTTTTAATATCTAGGAGTTGGGAGTGGTTTTGAGATCAATGGGACAGAACCCGAGTGAGCAGGAGTTGGAGCAGATGATCAATGAGATGGATGAGGACGGATCAGGAACTGTAGATTTTGAGGTGAAAACTTGAAGTTTAGTGTTAAACACGAATATCGAGGTATGCATGGATAATGAGTAATGATGATGCATTGGCACGTTTAAATATTTTTCTTTGTTTCGCGCCTCATATAAATCTATAATATTCCTACTCCATTTAAATGAGTTAACGAGTTTTTAACTAAATACTTGCCACAAACTCTGATTTTCTAATCCGTATATTTAAGCAACTGAATATCGAAATTTTTAACGATTAACTCTGCTCAATTAAAAACTCAAATATCAAAGGTTTTTGTCATAAGGTTGCCATGCTATAGGAGTTAGAAACTAAAAGTATTCAGTTCCGTTCAAAATATATTTATAGATCTTATTATTATATAATAGAAAGTTTAGAATATCCTTTTTTCAATTATTTGAAAAGAAAACAATATTCTTGACGTGTATACGTTTTTCCTTATATCAATTAGTAGGTATCTCCACAATGCTTTTATAAACCAATATCTAAAGATAATAGTAGCAATTCTGAAAATGTTTTTCCACCCGGGCACGTCACACGTCACACCGGACAAAATATCATGTAACACCGGACATAATCTCACGTTACACCGGACATAATCTCACGTCTCACCGGACAAAATATCATGTAACACCGGACATAATCTCACGTTACACCGGACATAATCTCACGTCACACCAGACATAATCTCACGTCACACCGGACATAATCTCACGTCACACCGGACATAATCTCACGTTACACCGGACATAATCTCACGTCACACCGGACATAATCTCACGTCACACCGGACATAATCTTACGTCACACCGGACATAATACCGGACATAATCTCACGTAACACCGGACATAATCTCACGTCACACCGGACATAATATTACATCACACCGGACATAATCTCACGTCACACCGGACATAATATCACGTAACACTGGATGTAATCTCACGTCACACCGGACATAATCTCATGTCACACCGGAAATAATCTCACGTCACACCGGACATAATCTCACCTATCACTGGATGTAATCTCACGTCACACCGGATATAATCTCACGTCACACCGGACATAATCTCACGTCACACCGGACATAATATCACGTAACACTGGATGTAATCTCACGTCACACCGGGCATAATCTCATGTCACACTGGAAATAATCTCACGTCACACCGGACATAATCTTACGTCACACCGGACATAATCTCACGTCACACCGGACATAATCTCACGTCACAACGGACATAATATCACATAACACTGGATGTATTCTCACGTAACACCGGACACAATCTCACGTCACACCGGATATAATCTCACGTCACACCGGACATAATCTTACGTCACACTGGACATAATATCGCGTCACACCGAACATAATATCACGCAACACTGGATGTAATCTCACGTCACACAGGACATAATCTCATGTCACACCGGAAATAATCTCACGTCACACCGGAAATAATCTCACGTCACACCGGACATAATCTCACGTCACACCTGACATAATCTCACGTCACACCGGACATAATCTCACGTCACACCTGACATAATCTCACGTCACACCGGACATAATCTCACGTCACACCGGACCATAATCTCACGTCACACCTGACATAATCCCACGTCACACCGGACATAATCTCACGTCACACCGGACATAATCTCACGTCACACCGGACTTAATCTCACATCACACCTGACATAATCTCACGTCACACTGGACATAATCTCACGTCACACCGGACATAATCTCACGTCACACCGAACATAATCTCATGTCACAACTGACATAATATCATGTAACACTGGATGTAATCTCACGTCACACCGGACATAATCTCACGTCACACCGGACATAATCTCACGTCACACCAGACATAATATCACGTAACACTGGATGTAATCTCACGTCACACCGGACATAATCTCACGTCACACCGGACATAATATCACGTAACACTGGATGTAATCTCACGTCACACCGGACATAATCTCAAGTCACACCGGACATAATCTCACGTCACACCTGACATAATCTTACGTCACACCTGACATAATCTCACGTCACACCAGACATAATCTCACGTCACACCGGACATAATAAGTTAGAAAAATTTGTCTACGCGCGTTATTGGAATTCCTTAGTCTGACCCTATCTAATAATTGGCATAAAACAAATATCCAATAAGAGAATATAAATGGAACAGGGGAAAAAACTGGATTAAAGATGAAAGAAGAGATATCACAAAATATTATTTTAAAATATTGACAAAAATTCATTTTCATTTTTTTAAATATAGTTCTGTCATCTTAGATGTTTTGGTATCATAATATCATATTGTTATTTGACCATATTCCCTCTGATTCTGGGACTTTCAAAGTGTGGTCTGCCTGTTTTTTCCCTCAAAAATGATTGAGATATTAAGATTTTTGTTTAAGTTTGATTTTATTAGATATTAGGTTGGAAACCAAGCTTTGCCTGGAGATCTAAACAATTTTTCAACACAAACTTATACATTCGCGTGGTTCTACCGAGTTAACCAATCACGATTTGGGACAAATCCGTCAAGGGGTTCCAGAGTTATGATCGGACATACAAATAGAGATTACTACTTTACATAAGGTTCATTTGCCCGAATTACTTTTTCCCGAAAGAACATTCATAAATGTCGGGCAAAAGTACTATCATCGCGAAAATGTACCATCGGCAAATTAATTTCGGGCATTTATAATTTGGTCTTTTGAATAAATTCTCTTTTTAACTATTCTAGGAGTTTGTTATCCTGATGAAGAGGAAGACGGCGGACAACGAGGCGGACGGTCACGACGATATCGAGGAGGCCTTCAAGATCTTCGACAGGAACAATGACGGGTTTGTTTTATTTTCCTGTGTATTCAGAACTAGAAAACTGTTAAAATGAATCTTAAATAGTTTTGAAAGAATTTGTAAATTTTTCCACTGATATATTTCTAAAAATGTTCCGGGTATATTTTTAGAAAAGATCAGCTGCACATTCAAAAGTCTTTAGCGATATTTCATAATAAAAAGAAATAGAGAAGACGACTTCAGTTTCAATGTTTTCAATGATTTTGATAGATTCTAAAGATATATTTTTTGTAAGAAACCTATTAGTGTTAAGCTGTAAGACATGAAAAAGTTTCGCAGATTTTCAGTTTAAGTTCTGTAGGCTAAAACAGAAATGAGCAGTGCCAAGAATTTGGTCGTTTTGTAAACCAATAAAATATGAAAATATGTTCAGGGTTATTTCTGCAGAGGAGTTGGCAGCAGTTATGATTAGTCTAGGAAATCCTAGAACTAAGGAGGAGATAGAGGTCAGTTTAATCCTAGAGACCTAAATCTAGACTAAGACCCAGACCAAAACCTGGACCTATTTCTAACCCTAGACATCAACTTATACCTGGACCTAGACTACACCAAGACCTAGAAAGCGACCATAACCTAAAACTAGACAGAAACTTAAACCTAGATCTAAACCTAGGACTAAACCTAGATCTAAACCTAGAACTAAACCTAGAACTAAACCTAGAACTAAACCTAGAACTAAACCTAGATCTAAACCTAGAACTAAACCTAGAACTTAACCTTGTTTAGAATATTTTTCATGTATGAAGGGATAGGTTTCTACGTAAATTTTCTCGTTAATATGGATTCTTTCTTGTTTTATTTTTTATTTTAGTTGATCTAATTACAACTACAAGGGTATCTGGGATTCTTTCCTACTAAATAAAAGCATTATATGATAAGATAATCAGGCAGAAAAGATTAAACCTTCTAATAAACACAAAATTTTACAAACTTTGGAACCTGAAAGGTCTAACGTTTAAAATTGAAAAATGTTCTGAAAAATATCTTCTAAATATTCAAAACCGATACCTGAACCTTGACCTAAATCTAGACCTAAACCTAGACCTAAACCTAGACCTAGACCTAGACCTAAACCTAGACCTAAACCTAGACCTAAACCTAGACCTAAGCCTAGACTTAAACCTAGACCTAAACCTAGACCTAGACTATAGACCCATGTTTAAAGTCTTTCTCAATGTTTGCAGGTATAAATTTCTTCTTAAAAGTTTTCATTTATTTGGATTCTTTTCTTGTTTTTTAAAATATTTTTTTGTTTATTTAATTTAATAGTTTTACGGCATTATTTATTTTTATACTAAAAAACATCAAATCATTTAAAAATCAGAAAGTTTAAATCATTTAATGGACACAAGATTTTACATATTTTGAAATCAAATCAAAATGTTTAAAATTTCAGAAATTTCTGAAAAACTGATCTAAATAAATCAGGAGATGATAAATGAGGAGGACCACGACCAGGACGGAGTAATTACCAAAGAAGAGTTTATTAGAATGCTCACGGAGAAACGGAAGAAATGAACTGAACCTAAACCTGAACCCGAACCTGAACCCAAGATGTGTTTATGCAATCAATCAATCACTCACTATATTAACACGAGATCAGGACGCGAAAAAAAACTGAGTATGGTAAAGGGGTAATTTAATATTTCATTCTAAATTAAAATCAGGCCATTTTCACCAATTGTTTCTGTAAAAAAAATCTAATCTCATTCTAAAACTTGGGGATTTAATATTTAAATATAAATTCGTATTTTAAAGATGATTTCATGATTTTTAAAATATCTATTCAACATGCAAATATTAATTATAATTCTAAAAATTTTATAAAAACGAAGAATTACCATGCAGTTTTGCCCTGTTCTCATTTTAAATATTTTTATCACAATGTTATTATTTCACTTAATAAGTTGAGAATTTTATAGCATTAATAATTTTTTTCTAAATATTTTAATCACTTAAAAATTATAAAACTTTATGACACTGATTAGATTAGATCATTACGTTATAAATTATCTGAGTTGTGGAACTATTAAATTTTTTCTCAAAATAAATTTTAAAGAAAATTTTTCTTTCTGTTTATCAAAAATAATCTAAGTGATGACATTCTTAAAGGGAGTGACCGGCAATGTATGGTAGTTGAACTGAGAATGTAGTATTGTGGAGAATTTTTTTAGGATATCATTTGCGACCTATGAGACGTTTTTGATGCATTTTTATTCAGAAAGAGTGCAAATTTAACAAAGAAATCCCATTAATTAACAGGATCTCTGTGTTTTCTTGTAATTTGATAAAACCTTGTTAGAAATCAAAACTTGAGCATAAAGGTCGTCTTTATTGTATTGTTTTTAACGCCAACCATTGTATAAAAATACAATACAAAAACTTTAGAGTTTCCTTTTTGGGGTCTAAGCATTTGTGTAGATGGAGAATACAAAAAAAAATAATATTTCGTGAAAAAAAAACACCATTCATGGAACCGGGTTTCCGATTCTGGGTTTCATGCAGACGATACCCCGTTTTAAATTTCGGGCTCGGAAAACATTTCGGCCCTGTACACTCAGTGTACACAGTACAATTTTGTCAGTTACTATACAGTACAGAAAGTAGGGACGGTACAATTTCAAATAAATCGAAATTTAAATCGGCTGTTGCGAATAGTATAAAGATTTTAGATTTGCTTTGCTGATGAATTTTCTTTAAAATATTGTAAACATCTTCATTTGAAAATTGCCCTTGTAAATCGTATTTTTAGGTGAACCTTAATTATATTTCTACATCAAAGATAAAGTTTTAGGCAAAGAGAATTGAATATATTAGAGAGGAATTAAAAGAATCTCTCGGTATGAATTTTTCAGTCCCTTTCAGCCTAAAAGGGAGTTCAAAGTGTACAAATCATGTAAATGTTCACAAATTATATGCAGTAGAGTACATTAATACATTATGTTCCCTAGACTATCGATCAATTTCGAATTTTTTAAACTGTTAAATAAAATCATCGTTTGTAAAGTGGAAAGCATGTGAAATGATCATTGGTCAATTGTGAAACCAGCCTATTTCATATTTTGGTTTTCTTTTAACAATAATTTTAGATTTTCTATAAAATGATATTCCAGGCCCCAACAGGTTATATAGCATAAATATGTGAAGTACACCTGCAGTATGGAAACAGTACAACAAAATGGCCGTTTTACACTTTTTTTCTAGTAAATTCCTCTCTATATATTCTATTCTCTATGGTTTTAGGGTATTTGATCTTTAATTGCGAGCTATTAAAATAGCGTTTAATAATTTCTTTGTGTAAACTGAGTCTAAATAAACTAGTATCGACTAACTCATCCCTAAATTAATAATCCAAATCATTTATTCGAAATTCAAGAACATTCCCTTTTTCAGGGGCTCTTGGTTTCCTCTTTTTTTCGAAGCCTTGAAAGTTCTTCAGGATTAGTTGGAAGAGAGAAATTTCCATTAACATCAAATATTTTGATTGGATTGGATGATTATTAAAAAGTCAAATCTGATGAATTGATGACATTTCGTTTTTTATTGAAAAACATTGCAGGTTAGAGATAAAGATCTGATTGTAAGGGGGGGGGAATCTATCAGTGAATCTTTACAATTCGTTTATTATTCTTTCATGTTTGGTTTAAGTGTACTTAAATAGTACACATCATTCTAAACTTATAATTATATCCAGGTTATTTACATTTACTTACTAATAAATTTATACTTTTTGTCATTTATTTATTCAGTCAAAAACGAGTTTAAAAGGTCTAAAACTGGTGGCTGTATGAGGACGCAAAGGTGTATATAAAAGTCTCAAAGCACCAAAAATAAATTTCTTATGTTGAGTTTGACTCTACACTTTTTTTGTGATTAAAACTTTGAAAAACATGATTAATATAATTTATTTTGACATTTTGGGATTCTTCTTCAAAATGTAATAAAGTTCCACTACAGGGTCTTCTCTACCCTTATTCCTGAATACACTATTGATGATCTGGGTTCAACCTTGATGAATATCCTACCCTGAGAAACCAGGACGGAGAGGAAGGAGGAGGAGGATCTGTTTATTGGTTTATCTTTACATTCTTATCCTTGTCATGGTTTGAATGAGCTGAGATGAGCTGGGATGAGAAATGAGGAGAATGAGACCCCCCGTAGTTCTGAAGAGTCTACTATCCTAGTAGAGTATAAAGCACGGCATGAAGCTCCCTGACTGATTGGCACTAACTTCCATCCTAAAGCTAGACATATACATAAATACACATATATTTATATATACATATATAAAACATCTTCTAACTATACAATAAAGCTCTTTGCTAATAAATATATACATATATATTTATATGTAAGCTATAGCTAGCCAAACGGCTGGACCAAATGGGCTGAATTTTTTAGGGAACCCTTGAGTACCCCAAAGTTAACATAGGCTAAAAAATAAAAATTTAAAATTCGGTGATGGTGATGGACAAAACCTCTGTAAAGTAAAAAAGTAGATGTTAGTTCCACATTTAAAAAAAATATATTTTGGTACGTCTGGGTTGACCCTCGTCAGTTCTAACGATAAAATAACCATTAAAATCGGAAAAAAAAATTTGTTCAAAATCACAAGAAAATAAAGAAACAAAAAAGATTATTCAAAATAAAAATTTGGGCTGTCAAATGAACATAAGGGAAACGAACTCAGATTATGAGATGGAAAAAAGATAATTTGCAAATATTCACCTTTTAAAAAAAATGTTTTAAGACAATTATTATCCTTGAGATTGTTTCTGTCACGAAGGTTAAAAACAAACTGTTTAGATGTATGTGTATAAAGTGATGGTGAGGGTCGAACTAATTAACGAACTTTTGCGTAAATCGGGGGGAGGGGGACGGCTTGTTTAAGGAGGGGTATTTAAACCTTTTGAAAATTGGACATAAACAACTTTTTTTAAAAAAGATTCTGAATTACAGTTTACAATTAAATAAAAACTATTTTTTTCTGTTCATTCCTCTGAGTGCAGTCATAAAATCTCAAATGTATTTAGATTCTCGTACTTCAAGTAAACTTTTTCCGTGGTCCCAAACCTTCTCTAGAACGCTAACTTTTAGATGGTAGAGTTGATGTCCAGGAAGGTTAAAATGTTCTTCTGTAGGTTGGTTTGAAAAACCTCCTTCATCCAAGGATCCTGGACCATAGTTCTCCAATGTTTCTGTATGATGGAGGAGATACAAGGCAGCTGGGGATTAATTAAATCTTCTATCAAAAATCTTAATTTTTTTAACATTCCACGGGCAATGCTAGTAATATATAAAATATAAAGTGTATCGCTTGAAGTCAAACCTTATAGAAATCCAACATATAGAAACCGCTACGTGACACGTGTAGCAACAAGGCGTATTTTCCGAGAGAACATTTATTATATTTTTTTGAGAAATTAAATAATCAGTGTAAAGTAGATATAATTTTCATAAAATCCTTTTATTTAAATGGTAAAACGGAATTTTATGAAATCATATTAGCATTACTGGAGAACTTTTTTTATTCTTTTAAGAATTTTTTTTCTAAAAATAAAACTATAGATAGCATTTTTATAAAATTTTTTATTTTTAAATGCAACATGCAATTTTATGTATAACCATATAATCATTCATTTATGTTGTCAGTATATAATAAAATCTGGGGGACCTTAAACACAATAGAGAGCAGTACAAATGTACATATTAAACTATTTTGCTCCTTTAATGTCTAGGGTATGTAAAAAAATAGTAATTATGATAATAATACGCTACAATGTTTTACAAAAACGTTTAATTTCTCCAAAATATAAAAAATGTTCTCCCGGAAAATACCCCTTGTTGCTACACGTAGCTGTTTCTATACGTTGGATTTCTATAAGGTTTGACTCCTATCGCTTTTTAGCAACTGATTACTTGCCTTAAACTTTATCTTTGCAACCTAAGAGTTTCTAATATATCCCGGATCAATTCAAACAAGTAAAGGATCCTTTCCTAAAGCTTTAAAAATGAGAAACCAAATAAACTTTCTGAACTAAAGAGTGGAACCTTAATATTCCAGATTTTCTAAGAAACCTACCCCTAGGTGCTAGGTGTGACATGTTAAACAAAGTTTACGGGACGATTTTTCCATATGGAGCTGATCCGGAATTAACGTGTCGTAAACTTTGTGAAAATTAATTTAAATATAACCCATAGTCTATAGAATCTGTTTTGTACAATATAAACTAATGTATCTACTTTGTCAGGACTATAGGTTTTTTTCTAGCTAGGCCAGAAAAATGTCTTTTCAAAAGTAATCCAGAACCTAAAAATCCATAATCCAGAACTCTAAATCTAGAATCTACGATTAATGATCTAGAATCTAGAATCTAGGATTAATGATCTAGAATCTAGAATCTAGGATTACGGATCTAGAATCTAGTATCTAGGATTAAGGATCTAGAATCTAGAATCTAGGATTAATGATCTAGAATCTAGAATCTAGGATTAACGATCTAAATCTAGAACCTAGGTTTAATGATCTAAATCTAGAACCTAGAATTAATGATCTAAATCATGAATCTAGGATTAAGGATCTAGAATCTAGAATCTAGGATTAATGATCTAAATCTAGAATCTAGGATTAATGATCTAAATCTANAAAAAAACTAATTCTGAAAGCGTATCCACCCCAAATCAGGAGTTTTGAACGTCGAATTTGCGCTCAAACTCAGGATTTACAGATCTTTAAAAAGTGAAATATGTCTCAAATGAATCCTAAAGAAGTTTTCGACAACACTGCATATACTCAGTTCAATTACCTTACATAGCCGGTCACTCCCTTTAAGGATCTAGAATCTAGAATCTAGGATTAATGATCTAAATCTATAATCTAGGATTAATGATCTAAATCTAGAATCTAGGATTAAGGATCTAGAATCTAGAATCTAAAACAAAAAACCTAAAATCTAGATTAATTCAGGATCTTAAAATCAAAAATCCAGAATCTAGATTCTGTTGGCAAAAGTTTCTGGATTCTTCAAACTTAATGATTGAACAAGGAAACATTGAAAGAACAAAGAACGGGAAGAATTTATTTCTCCGAACTGTGTGCTGAGTTCTAGCTATTTAAGTTTTATTGTAGTTTTCAAAAGATAGAAGGAAACATGTTTTCTGCATTTATTTAATTTTTCTTCCATTTTCCATTTTTTTTGGATTATTTAAAATCAGCAAATCATTACAAATCACCCTAAAATATTACATTTAAAATCTTCTTCAGAGGATTAGACTAAAGTTGGGGATTGGTAATAATTTGATTTGAATCAAATAATGAATCCGATGCATTGGGCCTGCATAGCTTAAACATTCGGGGTAAAAAAAAAACTATATAAAAAATGGATTTATCGGTTGCATTCGAAAAAAAGATTTGTATTGCTGTCTTTTTCATTTTTTTGTGTTTAGATGTGTTTTACAGTAAATGTAGAAGTGGTGTGTACGATTTAAAACAGTACCTTTTATACCATTGACTGATCAGTGATCAGTGATCAGTGATCAGTGATCAGTCATCAGTGATCAATGATCACGATTTTATCAATATTTCTTTGCAGAAACTTTTGTAATTGTTAAACATTTTTTTGCTAGAAGTTTTGAATTAATTAACAATATAGTCTGTTCGGTAGTCGTAGAAAATAAATATTTGTATTTTTGAATCCCGCGTTTAACAATGAACATATATAGTATTCGGGATTTGCGAGAAATAATGTAATTCTGTTTACATTGTAAATCTACGTTATTAGCGTATACAGTATACACGCCTACTATTCGTAAATTTAAACAGCATTTTAGAGATAAACTCGTGGAGTTTCCAACCATCAAGGATCTGTTAAAGGTTTGAAGAGTACCGTTGTATTTCGGACATTCTCTTTATTCTTGGCATGAAGGGTCACTTGAAATTACGCCCACAGAAAAGAACAAGAAAGATATCGAACACGTAAAGCGTTAATCCCACCCCCTTCGATCCCTCAGCAGAATAACGTGACATGAAAAAAAAACATTTAAAATTGATTTTAAAAATCAATTGATTCTTCCATGTCCTCAGAAGTCTACCTGTTGTTAATCTGCAGATTAATTTAATCTTTATTTGATATCCCGCATGGTAATCGTACCCTTAGGGGATAAAGAAAATGAAGAGATTAATCATTAATCCTCAAATTGAAAGTGGATATCGAGATCAAATTATCGGGATTAAAAGTGTTCAACACAAAAACGTTCAGCGCTGGATAATCTTGCTTAAACGTAAAATCAAAAAGACAATAAGTTCCAAAAAAATCTTTAAAAACTTTATAAACCTTGGATTTTCCACGGAAACATGAACCCTACTCCTATATTTATGTGTAAAGTGAAGTCAGAAACCCTAAAATATCTATCATTATAAAAATATTTATATATATTTGGAATTAAGTGCATGAACGTGTATCTATTATAGCTTGAACCTTTTACTTAAATATTGACTTTCAACCACAAATTCTCAATTTAGAGGTTCAATTTTCAAACGTAAAGGGGTCGGGGGGGGGGGGGAAAGGGGTCAAGGTTTGTACTTTTGAACCAGTAGTGTCATTTTACCTTTGATGCTTAATATTCTACTAAAACAACATACCCCATACATATTTGCCTTTACAAGATTTAGAAGTAAAAACCGTGCAACTGCTAACTACAGTTTACAAAAGTTTAAGGTTGGGTTGGGTTTACTATCTCCGGGTTCTGTATCTCAGCCCCAGGCTTTGCTCTAACCTCAGTCACACGGATTATCTGTGGAGAAAATGGGTTCCAGGGTTCACCGACAAAAACTCGGCGTAAATCGTAGTTTATAAAGGACAGAGCTACATGCCAATATTTTAATCTTCTATCACTCAGCTGTGTGTGAGTGAGAACTTCAACACTTGGAGCATTTTTGCATGTGAACATCGATACAGAGACAATATGTACATCTGCTAATTTAAACATGTGCTCTATAGCTCTTTACTCTGTCATGCCATGTTTTCAATGGACCATTTGCTCTTACGTCATTTGCTCATACGTCATTTTCTCATACGTCATTTTCTTATACTTCATTTGCTCATACGTCATTTTTTCATACTTCATTTGTTCATACATTATTTTTTCATTCTTCATTTGTTCATACGTCATTTTTTCATACGTCATTTTTTCATACGTCATTTGTTCATACGTCATTTGTTCATACGTCATTTGTTCATACGTCATTTGTTCATACGTCATTTGTTCATACGTCATTTGTTCATACGTCATTTGCGCATACGTCCTTTGCTCTTACGTCATTTGCGCATACGTCATTTGCTCTTACGTCATTTTCTCATACGTCATTTGCGCATACGTCATTTGCTCATACGTCCTTTGCTCATACGTCATTTGCTCATACTTAATTTGTTCATACGTCATTTTCTCATACGTCATTTGCTTACACGTCATTTGCTCATTCGTCATTTGCTCATACGTCATTTGTTCATGCGTCATTTGCTCATATGTCATTTGCTCATACGCCATTTGCTCATACGTCATTTGCTCATACGTCATTTGCTCATACGTCATTTGCTCATACGTCATTTGTTCATTCGTCATTTGCTCTTACGCCATTTGCCCATACGTCATTTGCTCATACCTCATTTGCTCTATGACGAAACATGTCATTTACCCTATAAAACATTCCTCTAAAGTATCTCTGCAGCAGATGTGGTAAACGTCGAGTCAAGCTTTTAAATGAGTGTAGAGCAAATGGCTGCAATATTAAAAAAGAATAATTCCAAAAGATCAACTGGCCATAAAGTTAATGCAAATGTCCTACCACGCGGGAGAAAGAGTAAAAAGATTAAAAGTTTTAATGTTATAGATATTTTAATTAACGAGGTTTTGATAAGTTTTAATGTTATAGATATTTTAATTAACGAGGTTTTGATAAGTTTTAATAGTTTGTAATTTTCCAAATAAATCTTTCACAAAAATCTGATGAATGCGCAAATTTTCTCAGAACTATAATTTATCACAGAAAGTTTTATTTCCAGAATAAAGATAACAAGAATAATAATAATAATATTAATAATAAGGATCACAATAATATAATTATTTCCTTTAATCGGGTGTATTGTACACATGTATCAGGGTTTATATGCACTCTATACTCTAGATCAAAGTCATCAAACTTCTCCTTATAAAATATCCGTCCTTCACATTCACTAATCCTATTATGTGCCAATCAAAGCTTAACCCTTCAGGCCTCAATCAGTTCAAATCCCCTCCCGCCCACGTCCTGAACCATGGCTCTAACATGTCAAAAAATATTATAATAATGATGATAATAAAAGAGTTTTGAGATGCTTATACATCAATCGATTGGTTGGTACAAAAGCCCTTGTAAATGTACAGTGTACATAACTAAATATGTACCCATGTTTTATTTGTAACCCACATCTATCTATCTATCATTTCCTGGCCTGAAATTAGTCTGAAACCATTTTACCTCTATCTCACTTATCTCCGTTTCGAAGCGTTAAAACGTTTTCCTTCTTTTCTTGTCCAGTTCTTTCTCAGTGAAGGTTTGATACCAAACCCTTGGAACCTTTTAGCTGGAGTATTCTCCGTGTATAAGGTTTAGCTGGAGTACTCTCCGTGTAAAAGGTTTAGCACGCAAGGGAGGATTTACTGAGTATGCCTGGAATCCAGGAGTAAAGGTCATGTTTCCTTTTCCGTTTTATTGTTGTACAATCATCACTCAGCAAAGACGAATCTTACTTTGTGTTACTAAAGGTTACTAAAGGAAGATGATATTTTATACAATTATGTATTTTAAACCATTTCAGTCAGAATCTAAAGAAATAGAAATGAAATCAGGTTTATAAATCTAACAATTATTTGTAAAAGTCGGTTGAAAATATTGTATCTTGTAAACCTCTCATAAATTGACAAGAGTGTGATGCGCCTAAATAAAGGAATTGAGTCTTTTTTTACCAGCTCAAATTTAATCTAATCTAATCTCTATATATTTGAAACCTGATGGTGTAAACCTTTGATATTTTAAACTTAGAATATTTGACCTAACAGAAATATTAGTTTGAAATATCTAAGGTCCACGACATTTGGTTGTAAAGATTAAGGGATTAGAAAATCAGAATTTGTGAGGGAAAACTCAATTCTTTTAATGGTTTCAATTCTCTGCACCGTTCGCAAATGAATTAAACTGCACTACCCAGTAATGTACTGTATTCAATTGCAATATGAACTGCAATGTACTGTATTCAACTGCAATGTACTGTATTGAACTGCAATGTACTGTATTCAACTGCAATGTACTGTATTCAACTGCAATGTACAGTATTCAACTGCAATGTACTGTATTCAACTGCAATGTATTGTATTCAACTGCAATGTACTGTATTCAACTGCAATGTACTGTATTCAACTGCAATGTACTGTATTGAACTGCAATGTACTGTATTGCAAAGCAGTGCATTGTATTGTGCTACACGGTACAGTATAATGGGTACACTGTGCAGAATAACTGGTAGACAGTTTAGTACAAAGGATTCATTGTAAATTGCTATAGGTACACAGTGTACAGTATGTGTACAGTATACCCTGTATCTTACACCCTGTACACAGTGTACAGTATGTGTACAGTATACCCTGTATCTTATTTGCTAATCTGTTTATTTTTATTGGGTGTACTTTCTCTGCTGTTACAAATAGATTTTACAGAACGCCTTGTAGAAATCAGAGTGAATTTACAACTCCTATTGTTAGCTGTGAATGACATTCGTGATACGAACTCAAATTGTTTATTTCTCTCAGGGTTCCGAATATATTTCTCAGGGTGCATAATTCTATAGCGGTGTCTATCTGATATAAACCAGAACCTTGATTTCTCTCCCTAACACGTCCTGCGAACCACAGATTACAGAATCATTTTCTTAATATTACGTGAATAAGTTTACCAGCTTGCAGCTGAATACGACAGGATGAAATATTTTTAATGAGAAACTAGTTGGTTGAGCGGATACTAGGCTTGATTAAACTCATGCAACCATTTTCTTCTTATTGTTCTTCTTCCCTACTTCTTCTTCTTTCTGCCTGTCAACATTTGCCATAAAGATTTTTTACTTTTCCCAACTTCAGTTTCTTCCTGAAACAATTATAGAGTTGAAAACTCAAGATTAAAAAATAATGATTCTTAAAAAAATATTTCCATTTACATATATATTTGTGTACATAGGAAAAGTTTACATATACCAAAACAAAGGACTTGAGTCATTGCAACAAACATGTTCGAATCCCTGTATCTTTGCAGCCTAATGGTGTAAACCTTTAATTTTTCAAATTTAGATTATTTGATGTAACAGAATTCCTAGCTTGAAATATATCTAAGGTCTACGACATTGGGTGACTAAGATTATAAAGATTAGAATTCAGAGTTTGTGGCAAAATATCAAGTTCTTTATTGACGGATTTCTGGAAAAAAAATATATTTGAAAACAATAAAATTGGCTCATGGCTGGAATTATGTGAAGTTTGACGGAAATCAAATAATGTTTCAAGCATTTAAATTTCTATACTCTCAAGATTCTCCACAAAACACTGAGAAGTTTTACATCAACAGTTTTTTCAAAAAAGCAATTTTAGATTTTTAAAAAAAATATTTTTTTATGGTGAAAACAATTAAACAATTACTTTTAACATTAAACATTTTAAACTATGCAAACTTTGCTGTAATTAACAAGTTTTCTCATTTAAATACGTTTCTAATTAAAAGCATGAATGTAGATGTTTAAGACGATAAACCCCAAGGTTCCTTCAAGTAAAGGACAAGGTTAGTTTAAATTTAATCTATTTAAAACCTGATTGTAATCTGGAGCAGGTTCAACCAGTTTTATCCTCTCAAGGGACAACAGATCCTGCTCCGGAGGTTTGAGAGGTTCATCAAGGATGGATGGTTTACGTCTCCGCTCCCTGCAGCTCAGGAAAGGTTTCCTAAATGAGATATTCATCAGGATTAGAAATGGGAAGAAAACTTACAAAACGAAAACAAAAAATCTAAAATCTAAAATCTAAAATCTAAAATCTAAAATCTAAAATCTAAAAATCTAAAATCTAAAAATCTAAAATCTAAAATCTAAAATCTAAAATCTAAAATCTAAAATCTGAAATCTAAAATCTAAAATCTAAAATCTAAAATCTAAAATCTAAAAATCTAAAATCTAAAATCTAAAATCTAAAATCTAAAAATATATTAATTAGCTTTCTTCAAACTGTGAAGGGAACTAAATTTTAGCCACAAACTCAAATTGTCCGATTTTTATATCTTTGCAACCTAATGTCGTAGAACTTTGATATTTTCAACTATGAATTTTTGAAATATTTTTAAAAAAACTTTTTCAGAAAAGAACTGATTTCTAGCCACAAACTCCTATAGTCTCAGTTTAAAATATCATCTAGTTACAAAGATAAAGGCTAATTTAATATTATATAATGATATTTTAACAAATGCTGCAAACACATATTTACATTTTTAATGTCAAAATAAAACTTTGAAATGAAAAATTGAAGTCAAAACTTTAAAGCCTGGAAGAACCATCAGAGATTTAAACGGTCGACCGATGAAATCAACGTTTAACTAAAGGAATTGAGTCTTTGCCACAAACACTAATTCTCTAAACCATATCACTTTGCACCAAATGTCACAAACCTTAGATTTCAAACTATAAATTCTGATAGATCAAAAAACTAAGTTAGAAATATCAAAGGTTTACACCATCAAATAAAAAAGATAAATGTGGAACTAACATCTACTTTTTTACTCTACAGAGGTTTGGTTCATCACCATCACCGAATTTTAAAAAAGAAAAGATAAAGAGTTTAGAAAATTTGAGTTCTTGGCTTAAGATTAAATTCCTTAAAAAAACGCAACAAAAACGAAAAAAGAGCGCTCTAAACTTAATCTCTCTCTTTATCTCTAAATATGATTGTTCATCCACACGTGGATTTTACAGTTCTGTCAATATTCCAGAATGCTGTGACTTTCACAATTTCACAAATTAAACATAATTTTTTAGCCTTTCTTAAATACCTTTTGTCGGCTTTTACATTTTGAATGAAATAGTAAATTCGTAAGGTAAAATGTTGTTGAATTATAGACCAAAACACGTTTGATTTCAAATAGAAGAAACCGAATGCTGCTCACTCTGGTTAGTCCGGGGTGTCCAAATCATCTAAAAACCAGAACACAACACTCCATGTGTTCTAATAAACAGGACACATGTTTCTAATCACCTGGAGGACCTGGGGACAACAATATAAAATCACAAGGATTCATTCTTTCCAAACATAATTTATCTTAAAAGAAATCATTGTTCACGTTTAATCATTAATTTGATAAATACACTTAACCAAGGGCAGAGTTTTTATATAAAGAATTGAAATAACTGAAATCCATCAAAAGGAAAAAGGAAAAATCCTATTGCTTAAAATATGTTGTACTCAGTTTTGAAATGGAGAAAAATATAGAAAACTTAAAATTAAACTTTTGGCTTGGTGACAAGAGGAAAAATTTTTTTTAATTTTTACAAAAACTTTAGTTTAAAGCCAATTGTTTTTTGTAAGGATCGAGTTTTCTCAAAAAAATGTATACGTGAGGAAAAAAAGAGATAATAAGCCTGAATCCTTGGACACAAGTTATGCGGGTGCATCTCTCAATAAAATTATAATTATAAAACCTAGTAAAAATTATTTGATTTAGTAAAAATTAAGATATTTTAGTATTTGTTTAAAATTTGCCTGGGAAAGAATACAACTGCTTAAACTCTAAATCTAGCCAGCCTTGAGTTTAACAATTTAATTTTACGATTCTACTAGTTTCTCTAGTTTCTCTACCTAAAACCCTGGATGTATTGGGTGTTCAAAGAACAAACAAATTGAAAAAACGTACAAACATTGCACAGTAAAGTTAGGATGTCGATGATGAGAATGAAAAAGAAAATTAAAAAATTTTTCTTTTGTAATTTTTTTCAGCAGTTCTAAGATTTTTGGATTACCGTGTAGACTGTGGATACGCGAACAAAAAACAATGCGCGGATAAAAAGAGTTGAATTCTCTGAAGCGTTAACATCACTCTCTTAACTTTTCTCCTAATTCGGTCTTACAGACTTATAGGGTAGATATATACAGACCTACAGGATAATATAAAGAAATAGAAGATAGTGGTATTAAAAGGTAGAAGGATAGAAGGATAGAAGGATAGAAGGATAGAAGGATAGAAGGATAGAAGGATAGATGGATAGAAGGATAGAAGGATAGAAGGATAGAAGGATAGAAGGATAGAAGGATAGAAGGATAGAAGAATAGAAGGATAGAAGGATAGAAGGATAGAAGGATAGAAGGATAGAAGGATAGAAGGACAGAAGGATAGAATGATAGAAGGATAGAAGGATAGAAGGATAGAAGGATAGAAGGATAGAAGGATAGAAGGATAAAAGGATAGATGGATAGAAGGATTAGTATTCCAACTATATGAAAAGTTGAAGTGAGGAAGGACTAGTATTCTCCAAGTATGTTTAACCTGTGTTTACAACCAGAATTATTTATACAAGGATAGACTCAGAGGAAAAGAACGAAAACTGGAAATAGATGGAACAGAGCAAAACATCAAGGGGGTAAACCAACCAGATGGAGAAAAAAGCTAAACAGATAAAACCCTAATGGTAAACAGATAAAATCCTAATGGTAAAAGATAAAACCATAATGGTAAATAGATAAATCCATAATGGTAAACAAATGAAAACCTAAGGTTAAACATATAAAAACATAATGGTAAACAAATGAAAATATAATGGTAAACAGGTGAAAACCTAATGGTAAACAGCTGAAAATTTAATGGTAAACAGATGAAAACCTAATGTTAAACAGATGAAAGCATAATGGTAAACAGATGAAAATATAATGGTAAACAGGTGAAAACCTAATGGTAAACAGCTGAAAATTTAATGGTAATCAGATGAAAACCTAATGTTAAAAAAATGAAAGCCTAAAAGTAAACAGATGAAAACCTAGAAGTTAACAGATGAAAATCAAATTGTAAACAGATGAAAAAAAAATGATAAACAGATAAAATCCTAATGGTAAAGAAATAAAAACTTAATTTTAAAGAGATGAAAACCTAGTGTTAAACATACGAAAACATAATGGTAAACAGATGAAAACATAATGTCAAACAGATGAAAACCTAATGGTAAACAGATGAAAGCATAATGGTAAACAGATGAAAATATGTGGCTAAAAGTGATTAAGAAAACAATGACTAGACCGTGACTTGTCCCCTGGCATCTGACATATTTGAAATGATGATGAGATGGATCTCTAGGTGTGAAGGGAGGGTGGGGCACAGATACAACATGGACATGGAACATTCTTTGGAATATTAAATTTGACAGTATCATGAATTTGTAATTATCCATCACATTCCATGTATATTTCAAGCTTTACCACGTCCCTAATATTTAATATTTCCTACTCATTAAATATAATTCTTGTAAATTCTTTTTTAAATTATATTCTGTCAACTCCGGTATTTTAAGTTCGTAATTCCTGAACCAAGGACTGTTAAAACCACAAGATAAACTTAAATAATAAAAATAGTGTTTGCACTTTAAACCTTATATGTACAATTTCTCTCCGCCTAACCTTCCTTTAACAATTTGTCTTTTATCGGTCCCCAGAGTGTGTCAAAGATATAAATTAGTTTTACAGTGAGAACCGAACCAGAATAAACGACTTTTAGACTCAATTTATGACTTTAAATAGTTCGATGAACATGAAACACTAGTAAAACTTTTTGCTCTGTAACATCGTCAAATACAATTAAGTATTGCATTACTGTCGTCTTCCTATTCCACAGTTTTCCAGGTTCTTGCCGTACAAAGTTATCCTCCAACATTTCTTCTTTTATTTGTGTAAACTGTGCTTGTAACCCTGTCCTATGTAAGTAGCATGCTAATAATATTTGTTATTGCATGAGCTATTCTACTGAAACAGTTCTTTTAGCGTTTCAAATTATGCACGACTAGGTTGGATTCATATAATATATAGTTTAAGAGAGAAGTACTAGAAACATTAAATAAAACCCCAGAAACTATTCGAAAGAGGAGGATGAGGAAAGAAGAGAGAATAACAAGCATGAACGAGTTAAAAGAACTCTTAACTTACAGTAGAAATGTACGTTATTGACTCAAAGATATATTTAATTAAACTTTACAAATCTTATTCTATTCTTATATTTACATATGGTTCACTGGACATAAAGGATTATTTTTAATACAGAATCTTAACCATTAGATCTTTCTATTTAAAAAGAATTATCAAAGTCTCGTCCTTTGTGGTTTACCCTGTATGTATGTACATAAATAATGATTTTATACATACTGGCATTTCATGCTATGCATCAGTTTATGCAGGACAAATTCAATTATTAAATTCTTTGTCGGGATATCAGGGATACTAGACAGAACTAGAGATAGAGAGATATATTCAACCTTTCCAGACTTTAACCAGGTTCAGATATTTTATATATTTTATATCGAGAGAGGTTTAATTCAGTATCCAGTGGCCGAATTTAAAGAATTTGAATTACAGTACAGTATAATCCAGGTACAGGTTTAAGTTGGTGTACAGTGTAGTACCTAGGTAAAGGTTTGAGTTTTTGTACAGCGTACAGTGCAGTATCCAGGTACAGGTTTGAGTTGGAATACAATGTACATAAACTATAGTATCAAGGTATAGGTTTGAGTTGGAGTACAATGTACATACAATATAGTATCCAGGTACAGGTTTGAGTTGGAATACAATGTACATACAGTATAGTATCCAGATATAGGTTTGAATTGGTGAACAGTGTACACTTTACACAGTACAGTGTAGTATCCAGGTACAGACGACTAAAGTGGAAGTGCAGTGTACAGTGTAGTATCCAAGTACAGTTTTAATTGGTGTACAGTGTACAGTATCAAGGTATAAGGCTTGAGTAGGTGGAAAATGACTGCGCAGAATTGATAAGAATAGTTTGTGTATGCTCTAGCGCTCTGTATGCGCTTCAAACTTAATAAAACTTTAAACGTGGAGAATTGATGCCAGGGCAGAGAATTTAAATTCAACATCAAACATTTCAGATTTTTCATCTAAACCTTGTATCTTTAACTTTGCAAACCGTTTAAGACAGAGATTTGATAATTCTCCAAACCCCGTTCCAACCAGGGCTAACTCTGCATATGAACTCTGTGAATGTGTACGTATGGAATTATAAAAATTGAATCCACACTTGTTTGACCTTTAGACTGTTCTTACACTGAACTAGGGTTTGGTTGGGGGTAATTTGACCTAAATATTTGGAATCAGATCAAATTCTTCATGATACAGGGTATACCATAATCATGGCAACTTTTGAAATTGAAAAAAAAAATTATTTAAGAAACTGTCCACTCGCCTTTTTTTATAATTTTTGAAATTTCAAAGGTTTATACCAACAGTTGTTAACAATCTAGTTTACCTGGTTGGAGACCCATTCCCTGAGTCATCACTATCCCGGAGCATATCTAGAAAATTTGGTTCCGACTGTCCAGTTCCGTTCTTCCGGTCAAAATTTAAGCTTTTCATATTTATATCTCGTTTCCTGGTCACCTTTGTGAACTCCCGGGGATCCTGGACGAATGCTTGCTGAAGATCTCTCATTATCTTCTTTCTGATGGTTCGTTTCATGGATAGATGACGCTCCAGGTGTCTTACATCATGCTCCGTCAAGGTTCTAGAGTAGTGCAGCTCTTTTCGAGATTGACGTTCACTTTTTTTAGTCTTTCTTTTTTTCTTATCACTGTTCACAATCTTTTCATTTTCTTCACTAGAGCAGACGGAGATAGCGCTATCTGTGAGTGGTTCCTGGAAGTTTCCAGGGAGCTTCTGATAGAACCTGTCGTAGGTTCGAGGACGCTCACACGGAGAACTTCGGTCCTGCCATTTATTCAGCTGTTCCTCGTATCTTGGACTCCATCTGTATCCTTGATCATCTCTAGCTGAGGATATCCCAGGGAGAGGTATTCCTCCTCGTCTCTTATCCAGTAGGCTCGGGTTACCTAGAAAAAGTATTATTATTATTACTGTAATCATTGTTTTAATTATAACTGCAACCATTAACATGATAAGACCTGTTTGTATAATAATGTCGGGCGTGTTTACAGTAAATAAATGATAGGAAATCAGACATTTATCTGTATTAGATAATTTAAACATCTCCTTTATCTGCTTGAAATTCTAATTTGCAGTAAACATACCAGAGCTGTTAATTGGAACCATGCCCTTATCCTTATTCTTGCAATAATAACCAGATTGCTATCCCTTCCCTTCAGGCCTTCATTATCCTACCCCCTCCCCCTTAGACTTCATAAACCTCCCCCTCCCCTCTCCTCCCATCCCATCGGACACTAAACCATCCAAAACTTTCTTCATCTTCCCCTATGTAAAACAGTTTACGATTTTTTCTCTTTCTACTGACCGCACCACCTCCGTAGTCCATTCTGATTTTACTCCCTCTATATACCCATCATGGTCTGACTCTCCGAAATATATCCGATCTTACTGCCTCCGATATTCATCTGTAGACTATACTCCCTCCGAAATCCATCCTATCTTACCCCCTCTAAAGCTTATCCTGGTAACATGAAATTAATCCTTATCTTAGTCCACTTCGAAACCTATTCTGATCTTACTCCCTCGAAACCCATCCTGATCTTACTCCCTCCGAAACCTATCCTGATCTTATTCCCTCCGAAACCTATCCTGATGTAAAGGCCCAACTTATAAAGATATAATTTAATTTCCTAATAATTTCCTTGCATGATGATAAATCCTCCATAATATCTTGTACACTGAGAGAATTTTAATCTCTACCCCCTCCCCCCCGGAGATTTCCACCTTACATAACGCATGTCTCCCTCCCCCCACACATGGAGCATCCCCCCCCCTGGGTACACACATCAAGGTGTATTCCCTATGACAGGGAAAGTTAGCGCAACATACCTAGGCAATACCTTAGGTTCAGCTCTACCAGTATACATTCATAGGACAGAGCCAGGACAACCCTTTTTGTCAACAGACGTCATACAGCTCAACAATACTTTAAATCATTTCGCACGGTTACGGGTCAAGCGTCAGTGTGACCCCAATACAAAGGAATTGAGTTTTTGCAACAAACTCTGATTTTCTAATCCTTATATCTTTCCAACCCGATGTTTTAGTCCTTTGATATTTCAAACTATGAATTCTATTAGATCAAATATTCTTACTTTGAAATATCAAAGGTTTACATCATCAGATTGGAAAGATATAAGGATTAGAAAATATCTGTGTGTGGCAAAAACTCAATTCCTTCAAAATTGTGACAAAATATGTTTTTAACTCTCAAAGTTCTGCCCAAGTTTTTTTTTACGTATGTGCAAAAATAAAGTTTAAAAGTTTGAGTGTAATTTGGTTTAATCTTTATGATCGTATGACCTTGCCAACCTTTTTGTTTACCTAAACCTTGTTCCAAATTACCCAGTGTAAATGAATAAAATTGGTCTTTAAGTACAGGGTGTACGTTTAGTGATAAGTCAAATTATCTCTAAGGAGCGGATCTGAAACCAACTTGTAAATGTTGTACCAATTCTTTCATACAAAATGTTGTCATTAAAACATAAAATATGTAATGAAGACCCTAATTCTGTTAAGAATAAGATAAAAATCACAAATCATAAATCTGTCAACAAAACATAAATCATACATGTAACAATAATCAACTGTCATAAAGATATTAAATCTTCTGTTAAAACATCGAATCTACCATGCACTGTAGCATTAAACCTGAAAATTAGGTCTGTTATAAAAACGTTAAACCGGTTCTAAAAGCTTTAAACCTGTTATTTAAACATTAAATCTATTATAAAGACATAATAACGTTAAACCTGTTAAAGTTAAACCATTTATGAAAACATTAAGCCTGGTATGAAAACATTAAACCTTTTATGAAAACATTAAGCCTGTATGAAAACGTTAAACCAATGTTATGTAAAGGTTAAACATTTTATGAAAACATTAACCCTTTCATGAAAACATTAAACCTTTAATGAAAACATTAAACCTTTAATAAAAACATTAAACCTTTTATGAAAACATTAAACTTGTTATGAAAACGTGAAACCTGTTATGTAAAGGTTAAACGTTTTATGAAAACATTAACTTTAATGAAAACATTAAACCTGATCTGAAAACGTTTAATCTTCCAATAAAACAATGAAATCTGAAAACGTTGAATCTGTCATTAAAACATTAAATTGACCTTAAATAGATTTAAAAGATACGGATCAATAAAAAAGCATGAGGAAATGATTAAAACATATGACGAATCAGTGTAAAGTGCATAGAAAGAGCATGAAAGGAACATAGAATAGAATTATAAAAGAAGAACAAGTATGGTAGATGAACTTACCTAAAGCGAAGATATTAAATACGTCAGGGATCTCCCTCTCCATACTTCCTCTGTTCCTGGAGCACTTGGTTCAACAGGCCCTAGTTCAAGTTCTCAGGGTGAGAAGCTCCTAGTTCAGCGGCTCAGGATTTGAAAGTTTAGTTTTAGATTCTTTTAGTGTTCAAAAGTTTTAGGTTGAGAACCAATTCAGTTATAAATTAAAAAGTTCAGGGTTCAGGTGCTATGTTCGACAAGAAAATATTTGAGGCTTTGGAGGCCGATTTTCAGGATTCTTAGGCTCAAGGTGTCTTTGAGTCAAAGTCTCCTTGAGCTGAGGTATCCCGTGTTCAGGTTCTTGGTATATCAGAGTATAGTTGCTCCAGGTCCTCTGTATACAGATCAAAGTTTAGTTGCTCGAGGAGCCCTGAAAAATTTGAGATTAATGTTCTAGTCGTGAAAACATTCTTTTAGATAACTTGCAATGCAACGTGACCAATTCTAATCAAAACTTAGAAATGGCAGAATTAATGGATTGAAAGTTTAGGCTGGTTAAGGAGAAGCTATTAACCTCTCCGGGTCGGATGGGTTCAGAGTAAGATTTCTCCGGTAGTAATTTCACGCTTTAACAGTTTAAGATACTTATAAAGTTTTGTAATCTTTTTTGTTTTGCAATATCTGTGCATTATAAAAACAACAAAAAAGTGGTTAAAGTGGAAAGTAAATAATGTCAAGCAGTTAAGGCAGTTAAAAATATCTAAAAGAAAAATATTTGATTAACTTTGCACATTTACTAAGTAACCATTTATTTAAAAATATTCAAAACACGGGGAGGAAGAGGAAAAAATTCAAGGAAAACAGTTTACAAGTTAAGGAGAATTAACATATTCAAGTTCCTGGATTTCTTGTATTCATGAACATACAACATATATTAAACACAGTGTCTTAGGTTTCAATAAGTTAAAGACAAGGTAAAATTAAGCTCTGATCGAATGGCATTTTCTTTAATTGCTGAGCTAAAGCTAACTTTAATCCAGGTTTATAACACGTTAAAGCTGGGATGAACTCAGCTCAAGATATTTAATTATTTAGTTTGTTTTAAACTCAAGATAAGATGAATATTAAAAAAGCAAATAAAGCACATTTTGATTTGCAGAAAGTTAAGTTTAAAGTTAATTTTAAACTTGTTTAGTTAGGTTTAAAGTAGAAATCAGTTAGTTTATGTTAAATTCATTTAGTAATGTTTAAATTAAGGTTAAAGTATATCAGAGTTTGTGGCAAAAAATCATATTAAGCTTGGATCTATTTGTCCAGTATAGAAGATAAAGAGCTGGTAACTATTAAATTAACAAAACTTTTTAAAGTCGGTTCAATCAGTTTAATTTATTTTCTTCTTTCTCACTGGTCGAGAGTTCAGAGATGAGTTAATGATGTCAACTCATGAAAACCGAATTGGACTAATTCTGTCCTTTTAAAAGTTGTAAGTTCAGTATGATTAAAAATAAATTTTGTTAAAATGCAAGACAATCCTGGGGGACCAATCCTACATCAGTCTGAATAAAATACAGGCAGCATAAACTCTCCGAACATGTTTAGGCAAATATAAGCCTATTGTTTAAAATGCTGACAGAGGGGGTAGAGGGGGCACACCTTGGGTTAAATTCCTGAGTTTTGAGGTTGTCTAGAGAGCCTGGAGATATTTACATAATTCTCTAGAAATTATTATTCTGCAGATGAGTATTAGTCTCGAGCTAAGATGATTTGTAATATTTAGAGCAAAATACTCAGAAACATTTTGCAAACATTAGAACTCGGTTCTTTCCGAGAAATCACTTTTTGGAAATGCTTTATCTTGTGAAGGAAGTTTTAAATCAGATTTGTTTTAATTTTGAAATTTTTTATGTTTAAAAATAAAACGTTCATCATTTCTTTTTGTAAATTTAAAAAAAATATCAAAGCTTTTTTGAAAAACATTGAATAATTATAAAACTACAAAATATATCCGTTTTATTTACGACTAACTTAGGAACCCGGTGCTGCCCAAGTTACTTATAGTCAAATAGATTATCAAGTACAATAGGTGGCAACAGAGAAATAGACCAATTATAAACGACGTCTCAAGTGTCAAATATAACAAGGAAATCAACATTTTCTAACATCAGTTGACATGTTTCCCAAGATTAGATAAAAAGTATAAAAATAGAAAACAAAGAATACTAAATTGCACTTATTTCACTGTAAAATAAGCACTTTATTATCGCAATTATTAACAATTTTGTCGGACACAAAACACTGGTGACACTTGTGACGTAAGAATACAGCTGTACTGAGAGCATACAAATTCTACGTTGCCATCTATTGTACTAGAATCTATTTGCTTATAGTTAATCCTGCCGGACATACAAACAGACAGACAGACCCACAGAGATTACAACTTTATTTATATAGATACATTGACACGTTTTATTGCTTCCAAACACCCGTTAAACTTCTAGATTTCATTAAATTGGAGTTTTTAATCCCATGGTAGGATTTTAAAGTCAATTTTAGAAATTGTTTCCGCATTGCAAGATTTTAATTTGAATTGGACCCAAAATGAAAAGCGATCATTTCCTTTCTTAAAGTAACTTATAGTTAAGTCATTTGATGTTTATTAACGTCATTTATTTTTCCTAATTAATAAAGTATCAAGAAATCATGAGTTCTGGTTTAATTCTAGAGAAATTTAGAAACTCATTAACACAGGTAAATGAATTTCTAAAATTAACTGTTTTACTTCATTTACAAAACATAACAGATATAATTTTAGAAAAATAAACAAACCTGGTCGATGACTGGTGAGCAATAATAGTTTGGATTGTATAAATCACTTTTTAAGTTATTATCCGTCACTCTGAACAAATTATTAATCCCGCCTCTAACATAGTTGTAACGCCCTAGGCTAGGTGTCGGAGCTACGCATACACATCTTCACTCCTCTAGGTACCGCAGAGAACTGAAAACCAATGGTGCGCTGCATGAGGGAAACCAGTTCCCCCACCCCTGAACCCTCCTCACCACCCCTAATCCTGGGTTGATCAGAATATAATCAGAACCGAGGGTTAATATCCACCTCAAGCTACAGCTCCAGGTATATGTTGAGAGTAGTGAGAGGTAAAAGATAGAATAGTTTAAGGTTTGGGTTTCTTATTTCCTGAGGGATTGTTAAGTAGCTCCTCCCACATCCGTTCTACTCCCACCAAACCCAAAACTAAAACCTAATAGGGATAATCGAAGAATCATAAACCGCAATTAAAAGATTTCGATATCAACTCACAAACAAACGAACGATGAAACAGCGCATGTCTTTATTAATCTTCCATCTGCTTTATATACTGCTAAAGGGAATGCCCATTTGTGGGCAACAATGAAGATATCACAATATTTCTATCTGAAAAAGTATAAAATTTTCACAATTGACTTCTTTATCTCTGCTGCATGAATTTACTTTTAAAAAGGGAATCACAATAGACCATAACCATTTTTACATGGTTAATCTATCAGAATTCATAGTTTGAAATATCAAAGGTCTACTACATTGGGTTGCAAAGATATAGGGATTAGAAATCAGAGTTTTTACCAAAAACTCAGTTCCGTACGTTGAAACTACGTTGAAGTTAGGTACAAACTAAAATTAACCTAGATCATATTTTTTTCAGGACTTAGACTTGGAGATATATCAACCATTTTGTTTGTTTTATTCATGTTGATTGGAGATATATCAACCATTTTGTTTGTTTTATTCATGTTAATTGGAGATATATCAACCATTTTGTTTGTTTTATTCATGTTAAAGCTTGAGACTGAATGCTGTTCTGGTATATTATACGGGGTTGAAGATTACATAATTAGGGCCAAGATGCATTAGATGAAGTCAAGAACGCTGTTAAAACCCGCCCTCGGTAATTTCAAGAATAATGCAGAGAAATATTTCATCCTTCCTTCGCAGCCTTTACAATATATTATCATTGAGTAGATATACATCTTAGAACTACACAGTTGATAGTACACACACCTTATTCTTAATCTAATCCCACCCATCCTATTCAATCCTCCTCATTCTCTCCACCCTTTCATTTTCTAATCCTATACCAACAGATCCTCAAGTTCTCAATCCTGTACTTAGGATTCTACTTTAAATACAAAATTGCTTCGATTTTAACTTTTTAAACTGCCAAATCAAAACCTCCAGTTATGGTTCGTTCTTTCTCATCTTATTATTTTTCATTTGATTCGTCCTTGCATCCCTTCCGGTCGAATCAATGTTAAACCAGTCCTTTTTACAAGTAACATGATTAAGATCAAACTATTACCATTGACTGAGAATAAATGTTCGATATTAGAGACTGTTAAGATTTAATATCATGTTATTAGATGAGATTAACTTGTTGTCAGTTCTAGACTAGGGACTAGAGAGAGAGGGTTGAAGGTAAAGATACTGATACTAGTCTATACTCATCAATTCAGATCATGCTCAAGATCTTTATCTAGATCAGAGTCTTGATATTCGACAACCGTTTTAACTCTTGATATCCAACAAAAATGTTATATCCTGGAAATCAGTCTACTCATGATATCCTGGACTCCAGTCTACTTGATCTTACATCTTCACTTCTACATGATCTCATGATATCCTGGACTCCAGTCTACTTGATCTCTTCTACATGATCTCATGATATCCTGGACTCCAGTCTACTTGATCTTACATCTTCACTTCTACATGATCTCATGATATCCTGGACTCCAGTCTACTTGATCTCATATCTTCACTTCTACATGATCTCATGATATCCTGGACTCCAGTCTACTTGATCTCACATCTTCACTTTTATATGATCTCAATGATCTCATGATATCACATGCATCATTCATTCCATTTTATCTTTACCTTTATTTAACTCCAATTTGCTGTAAATATTGAAAACTCTGTGTAAACCAAGACATTATGAATATTAATGTTCTTCTCAGGTTTACATGTCTTGAGCTGGAAATATTACGAGAATCTAGATATCTCTTGCCTTGTAATTATAATAGGTCTAAATTATAGTTCAGTTTCCACTTAAATTGCATGATTTAACCACACCCTTCTTTCCTCTCCAGTAGAACGCTAAACCCTGGGAACAATGAACAATGTCGAGGCTTGGGTTTCGGAGATATCTCTTGTTTCAACACCAAGGATAGAACATTATTTACTGGATATAAAACACGAAGTATCTAACACTGAAATATAGAAAGAAAAATAAGTTTAGACATTTACAATATTGCGATGATAACATGATTATATAGTGAAAGCATGGTACTTTATCCATGTTACCATAGAAAAGAAGCCAGCAACAATTATACTGACTTGATAAAGTTTAATTCTCTGAACCATAACAAACCAGTTCTGGATGAAATTAAGGTTAAGGAATTTAAGCTGACCATATTTCCTGTTCAATGTGACAAAGTATATTAGGATAAGAGTCAAACTAACTTTTGTACCATTAAAGGCATTATTGCTATATTTTTATTGTTAAAATAGGTATTTAATATGAAAACACTAAAATTACTAAGTTAACAAAGAATAGGGAAAAGACAACATACAATATTCATGTTTTTATTTGACAACCTGTATTATTTTATTTTTGAACTTGACTTTAGCTTGCACCAATTCTATACTAGAAAGAGACATAGTATTAATCTTTACAGGATAGATCAGGATTGGTGGAGAAGGTTCGTATAGATCAGGATAGGTTGAGAAGGTTAGGTTGGATCAAGATAGGCTGAGAAGGATAGGATAGATCAGGATAGATTGAGAAGGTTAGGTTGGATCAGGATAGGTTGAGAAGGTTAGGTTAGATCAGGATAAGTTGAGAAGGTTAGGATAGATCAGGATAGGTTGAGAAGGTTAGGTTAGATCAGGATAGGTTGAGAAGGTTAGGTTGGATCAAGATAGGCTGAGAAAGTTAGGTTGGATCAGGATAGGTTGAGTAGGTTAGGTTGGATCAAGATAGGCTGAGAAGGTTAGGATAGATCAGGATAGGTTTAGAAGGTTAGGATAGATCAGGATAGGTTGAGAAGGTTAGGATAGATCAGGATAGGTTGAGAAGATTAGGATAGATCAGGATTGGCTGAGAAGGTTAGGATAGATCAGGATAGGTTGGATAAGGATAGGTTGAGAAGGTTAGGTTGGATCAAGATAGGCTGAGAAGATTAGAATAGATCAGGATAGGTTGAGAAGGTTAGGATAGATCAGGATAGGCTGAGAATGTTAGGTTGGATCAGGATAGGCTGAGTAGGTTAGGTTGGATCAAGATAGGTTGAGAAGGTCAGGTTAGATCAGAATAGGTTGAGAAGGTTAGGATAGATCAGGATAGGTTGAGAAGGTTAGGTTAGATCAGGATAGGTTGAGAAGTTTATGTTAGATCAGGATAGGTTGAGAAGGTTAGGTTAGATGAGGATAGGCTGAGAAGGTTAGGATATATCAGGAAAGGTTGAGAAGGTTAGGATAGATCAGGATAAGTTGAGAAGCTTGTTCATGATTAAACCAAGTTAAATATCCGAAGACAACTAGTTATCTCAATGTATAATCTTTAGATTTGAACGGATACAACAAATTATTAAAGTTGTTCAACTCAAACACAATCATTTAACGTCCTTGCTCAAGGTACAAGGTTTCAGCAACAATTATATTAATCGCTGCTTCCTTGTCAAGTATAAACCAGCAACCAACCAATTCAACATACGGAAAATATTTTCCAACTATAGTTAGGAGACGCAGGGGTTGCACTGCCTGGGTTAGTTTCCTCATGCTTCGGGCATAATTGGAGCTAAAATAATAAAATTCCGAACATTCCAGAAATCCAGCACCCCTTATACCTTCCTAGCAACCAGTGCACGGACTTGAAATTTTAGATCCTGGTTGCTCTGCGTAAACTGCACAGTGCACACTACACTTCCAACAGTAGATGCAGTTTAGAAACCTTGTCATAATCTAAACCCCTGTTTCATGGATTTCATGATTTCATGATTTGTAAGATTTGATGGTTTAACAAGATTAGTCTTGTTTGATGGTTAAGAACTAGGGAGTAATGAAGATAAGATGACACAGGATGACGAGAAGAAATAAAGAAACATAAAAGTGATGATGGGGGGGGGGTACATGGTGGAATGGATTCATGACGAAAGAAAAAAATAATAAAAATTAGGAGAAGAGAACCAAAAAAGAATTGTAGAAAATTAAAGGCTTAGAGGAAAGTTAAGAAACAGAAATTGATAAAGTAAATAAAGGCATGAAGGAAAGGATATAATGTAGGAAACAAAGGTATAGAGGAAAGGATATAATGTAGGAAACAAAAGAATAGAGGAAAGGATATAATGTAG